CTGCGCACATTACATACAGCATACCCGACTCTCTTCTCATGGTCTGTAATCGATTTTCATGCGTGATTCCCATGATGTTTCATCACTCTCGAACATTACTTTATCAAATGCATTGCAATTGGACTGTAACATGCAGACTTTCTCATTCACTTCAGCCATATCAGTGATTCGCTCGCATGCATATTTTTACGAGGAATCTGTGCTCTATTCATTTCGTCACCTCGCAGTTTCAACATCGTTTGCTTTTCTCAGTGAATGAAGCGATTTTGGCGTCAACTCATTGGGTTTTGATCGTTTGAAGGATGTGTCAACTTCGACTTTGAAATGGTTGATCAAATGGTGGACGGATATAGACTAAAGTCCTTTGATAAAGCAGGTAAAGCGGAATGTTGAACACATGCAAATGCTGAATACGAAATACCTGCATCATTCCGCGAACGATTTATGGATGATCGTGGCGATGTTGAGTGACGAGAGTGGTTGTTGCGGGCAAACGTGGGTCGAGCTCGTGCTGGTCTATTGCTCGGTCGCCATACTCGATATCGATATGAAGGTGAATTGCCTCTCCTGTTCGCTGGATGCACATTCGACACCCTACACAATGAACAATTTCGAAACTGGTTGAATGCAATTCTTGATTTGTCTTCAACATTCAATGACGATTATCGCACACTAAATGTCTACATTTCAACTGTATCTCTTGATAGCAATTAGTCAAGAAGATTGCTATGACTTCGTTGATTTTGTCAAATTCTTGACGGGAATCGAAGTAAATTAACGAATGAAAAAATGAGGAAATGAATGAAGAACAAAATTAATACATAATATGCGTTCAAGAAAACAAACCTTTCACGAGTGGCTTGTTGCGGTCGCCTCGTTGGCTCTCTTCTTCTACGATAACTTCGTTCTGTGTTTCGCTCAAACCTGTGCTGTTCTTGAGGCTGCGATTTCTTGATCTGTATGATGTAACCTTACAAGTACTCAATGGTGTTCGACAAAGTGCTAGTATGGTACAAGGCTAGTATTTGAAAGAGAACAATGTCAGACAATTCTAGTAAAAGTTCAGAGGAAACAACTCACAGGAAGCAATTCCAAAACATATCATATTCTCTAACATGCTCTACCTAAGGAAATTGATATTGGCACATGAATGCCTTATGATTTAAAGAGATGAAACTGCTACGTTCACGTTCAAGCCATTCATTATCCATCCGAAATTTTCGGCAATACTTCGGAGTAGATGAACGCTGAGCATTCAGTCATAAGCTGACCTCATTTGTTGCCTGTTGGGTTTTGGGCACAGCGTTTGAAGCATCCTCTGTGACTGGTTTTGCATTGATATCAATAGTCGTGATGCCATTGCAGAGTTCGTTCATCTCTGCTTTATTTTCCGGTGACATCGGCAGATGCATTTCGCTTCCAGGCAATTGAATCTTCTCGCCAGATACCTGAAAAGTCTTTCAGCTCGCGCTTTCATTAAAAGTTACATCTACTTCTCGTTCCAACAAAAGCTTCAAAAACAGTGTGGGGAAAGTATGCGATGTGCGATTGGCATAACGCACGTAAGAAACTACGAAGAATATAAGCCTTCAAAACATAAACGTGATCAAAGAAGGAAGTTATTGCTCACCTGACTATGCTCTAGATCAGTACCACGGCTGCATCGCTCGTCTTTGCTGGTCCGGACACCATCGTCTTCCAGTTCATTCATAATCCGTCCGGAAATTTCTTTACAAAACTATCTCTGCACCGTTCTCAATCCTTAACATGAACGAAAATGCTGATCACAAAAGTCTAACACAAACCTAAAGGGGACCGTTATACAAGGCGTTAAACTGACTGATTTGCAAAGCCAGTGGCTGAGAATAAAACTGAGTTCATCGCAAAAAAAAGCTGCTATCCGCAGACACACCAATTCCGGTGCTTCTGTCTTTCCGGAACTCCTCCACTCTCAACTTAAGAGTAATATGAATGTCTAGGCCGTACGTGTTCCCTATCGAAACGCTGATCTAAAAAATCGCTAAAATAGTGCACCAAACCGAACGATTACTACCGCAAGCTATGAATATATCTCACCCGTAAGACTAGCCCAAACTAAGGCCAGTAAAACAGGAACAATGATCTGTGGAACTCTTTCGAACCACAATTCTCTAGAACAATTGATCAATGACGTTGCATCTAGCATGCAAATTCCGTCAAAACTGCTGCCAATAATGCTATGCAGAATTGATGTGAGGAATAATGGTTTCGGCGTTTATTTCGTCATAACACAAATCACATTATCGGAACACAAAGGATTAATATCATACAAAAACAAAGGGAGAAGAAGGAAATCCTCCAATTAGTACATAAGGAAGTTCGATTTCATCACCCGAATCAATAAGACATTATAAGATGATCAGCAAGCGCAAAGGGATAAGATTTTCTCCAACAGCACATACAAGAAATCTATTTGATCATGCGTAGGTTATATCCGTGTGCATGTATCCTATTTTATACATGCGCAGCTAAAGTACAGAGCTAGAGGTTGATTCATCTGTCATCTTGGTATACCTCACGAATCGTCGTATCGTTCGCGCTCCGTCGTGACAAATGGTAACTGTAAATGACCATATTGGTTGCAATAGGTACAATTTTATTTCATTTGAATATCACTGAAAAAAATCAGTGAGCAAGGATAATGCCGAGATATAAGATGAGTCTCCGATGATTGTTGACTTTTATTTGAATCAACATTAATCGAGTGAAATTATTCGAAGTGGTCCAAAATCTCGTACACAAATTCAGAACTTGAGTTATTCGCTGAAGAAATCATCTGAGTGCTTCCGTATAATTCGACTTACAGTTTCACCAAACACATCATTTACTTCATGTGCCAAGCCAATAGAATATATGGTATGTGAGAAATATGCCGATCATAGTACGATATCTGAATGACGAGCTTGATTGTTCTCATGCATCAAATGAATGCTATGACTTTTTTTTCTGTTCGGATGTGATGAATTTTTGGTATATTTTAGAAAAAATACAAGAATAAGTCTACATTTTGTTGCCCAGTATTGGAAAAAGGCATTGTGTCCAGAAGAATTCTGATAGATTTTCTCATCTTGAGAGGCTGTTAATCGTAAGCATTTTAAATATTTCATAACGTCAGATTGCTCTCCTAGGCGCCCTTTCAGTCTCCAGTCACGTAAATATTCCACTTCAGCGACATAATGACGACAATAGGCAATAAAACTGAATATAATTGATAATAAATTCAAATGGTTTCGAAAATTTTTGGTTTTTTCGTCTCATTTTCCCTTGTTATCAGTCGGATTTTTCGTTACTTTCATCGCACGATGAATTTTTGCCCAGTATGAGAAAACATTCCGAGTGTATCAATCAGAAAGGATTCCCCAACTACTCTTCAGGTCGATCGGAGTAAACATCTTATCAAAGTAACGCATTTCAATACCGAAAATCAAAATTCAAACGTTTCGTTCTTATCACATTATCATTACTGCTATCTGCAAATCCCGACGCCGTACGTCATATATGCAATCAATTGCTACGTATCAATATCAAACCGTTTAATATTCTCACGTATCGGTCGTTTTTGGTTATTGATTTTTGGTTTAAAGCTGAATTCTGACTTTCTTTCGACTCTGTGCTCATCGCTTGTATACATTCGTTCGTACTGATGCTTTGAAATGAAGTGCCACCCAAAAGCTAGCATAGAGTTTGGGCTCTTGGGAATGTTAGGAATGTCCTGCTTACTTTGATCGATATCGAATTTTTAAGTTTGACCGACTTTGACGATAAAATTGATCAATTTCATTCACTAGTACACTTTATACACAAAATGCTAAGATTCATATTTGCGTTGCATAATAATATGAATCTGAAGGAGCCTAATGTTTCATCAACAGTCAGTATGATTCACTGAAAGATTGAGATGTGATTTAGAATCGTTGAATAGTTTATCAGTAGCATTCAGTGGCACGTAAGGATGTTTTCGTTCATATTCCAAAATCATTAACTGGGATGTTTTCATGAGTGCACGTCGGTCGGTTCGTTTTCGTAGTTGCATGAGANAGTAGCATTCAGTGGCACGTAAGGATGTTTTCGTTCATATTCCAAAATCATTAACTGGGATGTTTTCATAAGTGCACGTCGGTCGGTTCGTTTCCGTAGTTGCTTGAGATTATAAGAATAAACTGATTGGAAATTGCAGTATTTCCTTTGCTGAATACCACTCAACGCAGGGTGCTTCTTACTTTTTCTGCAATCTGTCACCATCTGAATACCTATGACAGATGTAAGTTTTCAGATCATATCCTTGAGTGAGCAAATCCATGATTTTGTCCGGCAGAACTATGAATATTAACATTATGCTAGTTAGATATCATCTGGTTAGAGTATCAATGATTGAAGAATTTTAAGAAATTTTTTGAAATTTCCAGAAACCAGAAACGACAACATGCGACGAAAACAATTCAAACGAACCAGACACGATTTGCGACGAGAACAATTCAAATGAGCCAGACACGATTTGCGACGAGAACAATTCAAATGAGCCAGAAACGACGGAAACTAACGAACCAGACACAATGGAAACTAATGAGTCAGACACGACGGAAACTAGAGACACTCGTAGCAGGTATGCTAGCAATCTTGAAACTATTCCACATCTCATTTCAGCTCATAATTCACTTTTATAGTCGGTTATCTTTATGATGATTACAAATCAGTAAACTGTAACGATTATCATATTTTAGGACCGAAATAGCGATAGACTTCTTCGAGCAAGAAATCGCTAGGAAAAGACATCTGAGTAACATCCCAAATTTCGACGATCTCTACAGGTATATTTTGCATCATCGAATCTGCACATCATCAAAGCTTATCGTCCTATTTTGTTGATTCGTTG